GTGTGTGTGTGTGTGTGTGTGTGTGTGTGTGTGTGTGTGTTCCACTAGCCTCTGCGTCTCTCGGGCACAGAATAGAAAAGTTGGGGTAAAGTCTGAGTCAGCTCCAGGAACGAACAGACACTCACAGCTACTCCCTCCACAGTACCAGTCCTCCCTCTCTCTCTCTCTCTTTTTTTTTTTTACTGCTCTCTCACTCATTCAGTCTCTCTCTTTCACACACATACACACACACATACACACACGCGCACACACACACACACACACACACACCACTCCTGGCAGAAGGAAGACAGGACCACAGGAGAACTGTTACACACCTTTACTACCAGATAGTCACCCATTCATCGCCAGACGCTTTGCCCAGGATGTGGATGCTTCTCTTGGGGGTCACCTTTGGATTACTGGCCTCGTCCAGGTCAGAGCAACTTCAAGGTGAGGAGATTGTGCCTTCGCCCAGTGGATGGCTCTTTGTTTGTGGATTTTTTTATTTTATTTCCCCCTGTCTTACTCTGCCTAAATTGTGACTGTCTGACTGTCTGGTAAACCTCCTTTGTTACCAGATCTTACAACCAGACAGTATTGATTACTTTCTTATTTTTTTATTTTGCATCTTTTCTTTTCTTCCTGAGCTTATTATTGAGAATTTGTGTTCATGTAAGGAAGAAGACAGTGAAAGTAAAAAAGAGGCTGAGGCTGCTGCTGCTCATAAGAATGGACATGTGGATGCCGGCAAGAGAGCGCGTGCTACACCAGCACAGACAGGCTTACGTCTGGCAGCCTCAGACTCCTGTTAGACACAAAGGAGACAGGCGCTCTCGCTCATTCTCTGTCTCACATGCATTCACACATCGGGAAGTATTTAGCAGGGATTTGGATGATCAGTCTATAGCTTTCAGAAGCTGCTCCCTGTTATAGTTAGAGGCAGAAATAAGAGATATTTTCCTCTTTTTTTCCCCCTCCTTACAGTGCTGCTTCAGCTGGAGTCTGTGCCGCCACGCTTAACGCTCTATTCTCTAACACAAAGGATGTTCAGCAGTTGCTGTAGCTTTTCTCCCCTCAGAGTCTCCCTCTTCTCTCTTTGTCTCACATGTGCTCTCTCTGTGTGTACGGCTTTGACAGGATTTATTGCTCGGAGCGATTTATATCTCTGGAGGAGAAGTTGGTGCTGAATCAAACAGGTCTAAGGTTTTTTTGGCTTGATCCCTTGAGGTGGTGGTGGTGGGGTTGTTCTCAAAGACCTTTGGTACAAGTACGAACAGCATCAAGTTAAACATTCAACCAATATTTTTCATTTATTCAAAGACAAATAAGAGACTGTAGTCGGACTGTATGTGTAAAGATGGAGGGAGGTGCATCCCCTCCCTTTGTTAGTGGCTTGCCTGCGTGTATCTCTATGTTTGAGTGTTGAAAGCAATTGGTGTCTGGTTTTGAATCGAAGCACCCTGAGGTGGTTACTGCTCGTCCTGGTCCAGACGCCCTCTTTGAACCTGAAACTCATAGCTGTGTCTACAGCGTTAAGAGCAGGAGTTGTGGACTTGTGGCCAGACTTCCGTGTAAACCAAGATGGGATTTATGGCGGGTTCTTTACAACGCATTCTGGATGCATACCAATAAGCATCTATGAGCGTGAATGGCACAATGAAAACTGACTGGAATAAAGAGTAATTTAGGGACACTTTGGTTGCTGGTTTCTCTTGACGGAACCTGCTCTAAAAGCAGTCAAATTAGTTTGTTCCAGTTGGTAATTGAATTATTCTCATCTATTTAATTTCATAGCTATATGACCTCTTTAAGGGGTGTAATAAAAATCCAATTTGGATTAATTTCAATAAATTAGTACGCTTCAATAATTAAGTTAACGATGAGACTGAAAAGAGTTACGACCAATCTGAGATCTTCCAAATTTGATAATTTCCTGTCCAAAACACTCAGGAATCTTTTTACATCGCTGAACAAAAAGATAAAGATATTCAGAGCTTTCAACTCATCCAATAGTCTGTTATTTTATCTGATGTGTGCTCTTGTATCTTTAGAGTTTCTCCATCTAGTGCAGATATGGTGATTAACAGACTGACCACAACCACAGAGAACAACAAACTCAAATACATGCGCTCGGGCCAACCTGACCACTGGACTTCCTGCAAACACCATATTTGCCTTCTTGGCTTTAAAAACCAGTCCTGCATGTTGCCTGTGTCATGTTTCAAGGTGATGGGCGATCAGGGGCCCCGTGGACTCGGACCGGGCCCTGACAAAGAGGGCTTGTGCCTGTGCAGCCTCTGAGTACCATCTCCTGCCACCTGAGACTCTCAGACACGTGTTTGCCTCCTCTACTACGATACCCTCCTTTGCAAACCAGCCACCCTGAAGCTAAATGGCCCTGCACCAATATCTCATATAACATCCTCTCCTCACTTTCCCTTCATCTCCCAGAGCCACAGATGCTGATTGAACTGCTCTTAAATGGTTAGAGGTTCTCAAATTTCAGGTTTTGTGTGCAGTTAAACCTACTAATTACATTTTAACACCATTTTATGAGTTTCATGCTCTCCACACATACCAACCACCCCCTACACACATCCCCACCACCCCCGTCTGCTTTCCCTTCTCATATACACTAAAGTCTTTGTGTCCCTGGGAAAACTGCTCAGTAAGAGCTCTGTAATGTACGAACGTCTTCTAGCACGAGGCTGTGATTTCCAGTATCACCAGAAATACAGAGTATTGTATTGGATCTATAATTGACATTGAATGTGCACGCCCGGCCAAAAAAAACGGAGGTTTCTTATTCAGAGTTTCACAAAGAGGAAAAAACGTGACTAATAAAAACAACCACGCTTACATTAAGAGAATAGTTTGATTAATCAGCTCATCTTAAGAAATCAAGAAATGCTTTTTCCCCCTGGAATTATATAAGAAGATTAAAACTGCCTCAGACATGCACCAAGCCACAGAAATGTTCTGAAGATTTTCCTGAAATTTGGTGGGGGGGATGTATGTAAGGATGCAAATGTCAGAGTCAGGTGCTCCAGTCTGTGGAGTTATTCCTGCTAGAGCCTCTGGGTAAAATGTCCAGAAAACAACTAAGCGAGGCCATGTGAGAATACAGCAGGAACATTCACAGCAAGCGAGCGGGCATGTTGATCCCAATTCTTACAAGCAATAGATGCAAAACAGGGAAAAAGCACTAAATACTTTGAAAAGACAATGAGATTTGAAAGTTTTTGGCGATAAGGAAGAATGCTGGTGTTACGTGCTGTAAATAAAAACAAATAATTTCTGCAGGATTTTTACATTATGTCCTGTCTCCAGGTGCCACCCCTCACCTGAATGTTCCGGATGATTTCCTGTTGTCGTGAACGTGTCTGACCTGAACCATCTCCTGATGTGAAAGATGAACTCTAGAAAAAGTCTAGAACCAATGTTATGGAGTTCATGTCTGAAAACACCTCATGACACATGTCAAGTGGCGGTAGACGATTGGCTCAGCTGTTATCATGAAGACTGTAACCAGAGAGATGCTAACTTGGTCATGTCTAAAGTGTATGAACCAAACCAGTAAGCACATTTTTCAAATATGGAGCGTGCAAAAGATTTGTTTCTCCCTGTTTTCTGAGCTAGGCTAGGCTAGCAGACTCCTGCCCTCAGCTAAACAAGTGGGTACGGGCATTTCTAAAACCACATGCGAAAAAAGCAAATTTAAACCTATATATTTAGATACTAAAAGACTAAAGAGACAGATATTTATTTGATTGAAAACTTTGATCTGGTCAAATGTACCTCAGGTTGCCAGTTTAAAGTTCCAACAAAAGCAGCCAGTGAAAGAAGTCCTCTGCGGAAAGAAGTGTTGTTTTTTCCACTTAAGTCTCCATTATGACTGTTTGGAAAGAACGAAGGAGGTCGAGCTTCTTATCACAAATCGTCTATTTAGATTCACTGAATTTAATTCAGAGGAGAAATGTGAGGCCAGTCGCTCTGAAATAAATCAGTCTTAAATAAATTATAAGAACATCTGCCTTTTATAGTTAGAAGAAAATGTGTGGTTGTTTCCACAGTGATGGATGGAGGTGTTGAAAAACTGAAGGTCAGAAAGTAAAAGTCCCATCGTGACCCTCAGCTAAGTGCGTGTGTGGGTGTGACATCGTGAAGTTGTGGATTTAGTCATTTATTGTGTGTGTGTGTATGTGTACTTGTACTTATGTATTTGTGAGGACCATTTTTGAGACTAGCCCTTACAGAGTAAGGACAGTTTTGGAAAGTGAGGACATTTTGGAAAGTCCTCTCTTTTTCAAAGGCCTGTTTGAGGGTTAAGAGTTAAGGTTAGGATTAGAATTATAGGGCGAGGGAATGCATTATGTCAAATAGTGTCCTCACTAAAACAGAAGCACAAGAAAGTGTGTGTGGTGTGTGTGTATGTGTGTGTGGTCAGCCTCTTTAGGACCAACATAAATACTGACCAGTAGTCCTCATGGGGACCAAAGCCTGGTTGTAATGAAGTCAACATAATTTCTGAGGTCCTGGTTAAGGTCGGGTGTTAGATGTGAATTGTTGAAGTTAGGCATGAAATGGTCATAATTAAAGGTACTTCAAGGTTTTGGTTAGGCTGAGTGGAAGTCAATGCAAAGTCTCATTAAGGATGACAAACTTGGGGTTAGCCATTTAGTTGTGATGGTTATAGTTACGTTTAGGAGCCAGAGTATCCAGAAGATTCTGTGTTCATGTTCTTGTGATATTTCCAGGAAACTCTGGTGAGAACCTTTACAGGAAGGTGTACGTAAGAAAGAAAAAAATGTATATGAGCCAGTTTGGTGAGTGGTTTCAACCTTGACCTGACATATTCACTTGCTCTTGTCCATGCAGGGTCACAGCTCAGCAAAAGCAATAACTCAAGATATCGTCTGCCGAAATTCAAATGTGTTTGCACGTATCTGTGATGAGCCTGTGTGTTTGCACACCAGCCTGCAGGGGGTAATTTGTACTTTATTGCTTGCATAGAAAAGACAAACAGAGTAATGAGAGAAAACAGGAGGAGAGGAGATAGAGGGAGGGAGGACTGTGAAAGTTAGAGTCAGACTTGTCTATTACTTCTTGAGCAGCTGGATATTTTGGCACAGACCCTGTGTTACAGCTCCCTTTCTCTCTGGTTCTGTCCACCCAGACTTTGCAGTCTCCTTGGTTTCAACTCCATTAGGTGACAATGGAGGCTTTGGGAGAGCCTGTGCTTTGGCATAGCCGGCCTCTGGACTTTATAAAGACACCCATGACCGATCCCTCTGCATACTAATGATCAGGCCTCAGATTCATGTCAGCCCCCCTTTTTTCAACCCACCGATAGCTGCGCTGTCTTAGATCTCTCTGGGCAGGTTTGCAAGGCTGAGACTGTTTTTCACCACTTTACTTTCAGGGACACTGAGCCATGTGGCAGCATGTGTAGAGGTTCTTTGAGGTGTGTGTGTGTGTGTGTGTGTGTGTGTGTGTGTGTGTG